CCCCAAAACCCCAAAACCCCAAAACCCCAAAACCCCAAAACCCCTTTTTTCAAAATTTTAAAGTGGTTTCTATAAAATGATTATTTTATTTAATAAGTGTAGGCAATAGCAAATACAATGATATCAGAATTTGTGCATCATTTCCTTTGTATACCCAAGACTAGTCAAAACTTCTTCAACTGTCTTACCAAAAGCAGCAGGTCCACAGTACACTATCAAGGTATCTGAGGATGGTTCTGGGAATCGGCATTACTTTATATGTTCTGCTGATACTCTACCTTTTAAACCTGTCCATTCTCCATGTTTTTCATCGTCATGTCTAGTCAATGTATGGTAGAGTTTGAGATTGTTCGTATTTTACTAAGAAAGTTAATCAAGTTCATCTTTAACTAGGATATCATCCTTGGATTTGTTTGAGTAAAGCATTACCATCTAGAGCCCATCATCAGCTAGAGTTGAAGCTTAGACGAGTTGGAAGCACGGAGTGATTCCTGTACCACCTGCTATTATGCCTATTTTAGTTTTCTAAATTTTCGTCTTTTTCAATGTAAAAGTTCCGAATCCAATATAAGCTAGTAATCCGAAAGGTCCCTCCATCTTAACTTTTGCCCCTACTTCTAAGCTCTCTAGATGTTGTGACATCTTACCACCGTTGGGAAACTCATCACATTTTTTATATGTCTTTATTACGAATGTTACAGTTCCTCTTTCATTTAGTTGACTGACTGGAGTATATTTTCTAGAAATTGAATCGCCATCTTCAAGTGGTAAATGAAATATTAAATGTCCGCAAACATTAAGTCCTAACACTTAGTTCTCATCTGGCAATTTAAATATGAATTTGTTAGTGTCATGTGTGAGAGCAATCTTTTCCTTCAATTCCAACTCAAACTGTCCATCATCATTTGTTTCAATAGTTGCAAGAGTGGAGTTGTCAGAGTCTGCCACAAAATATCTTTCTATCACTGCTTATTAACTTTCCATTAGTGATAATATTTTATTTAAAGATAAAAAAATTATTGTATTATAATTAAGTTTAAATTTTAATTATTTTAATGGGTTCATGCTGTAGAAAATAAAAAAAAGTTTCAACTTTGCCAATAAAAGCTGAATAGGAGTCTCGAGATGAGGGCATTAATGATCAAACTTAATAGCTATAGGAACAAAATAAACTTGAAAACTCCTTAAAGTCTTTCAATGTCTCCGATTTCTTTAATTAGAATCAAAACAACATGTTGAGCAATCTTGTTAATAGCTTCAAGAATACTATAAATAATGGCTTATAGAGAGACTAAACTCTGGCTTTGCCAAACAGCTACAAAATACCTTCAACCTATGATATGTATGACTAAGAAAAAGAAGTTGATGAATGGGAATAGTTTGATTCTCATAAGTATCTGAATGTAAATATAGTAAAGGAATATACAATGAATTGGTCACATTTACCTCTGCCGCCTCCAGACGTCGATCCTAAGTTATAAGAAGCCTTCATGACTCTAAATTTGCTTAGAGATGATCCAGATTATATAATTGATAATTGCTTACTACCACTTAAAAATTGATTTATTGATGATCCGATTAAGCCTGCGCACATTACACATAGTTATCCAAGGTTTAAATTCAACTCCTATACATTTGGTTCAATTAAGACACATCATGGCCCTGAAATAATTGATGAGTTAATTGAAGAATTGAGTGACAAAGGATTCTCAAAAGCTTTGCAATGGAGTGAAACTCTAGAAAATAGTAGTATGATAAGGCTTTAGCAATTTGAAAGGTAGTTGCTTGATAAAATCAAGATTGAAAATATATAAAAAAGCAATCCACTAATTAAAATATTAGAGGGGTAAGATATTTATGAATGCTAAAAGCCAGCAGAAATGTTATAAACTAAGTCTAAGGCTGGTTTTGAGATTATTTTGATGTTATTAATGGATGATGAATTCCCTGATAGAAGGAATAGGAGAGCTCTATTGGACAAAACTCTGAAATTCATAGGAATGGGTAGAATAACTCATTCATAATATGACTATATCAACTCAATGTTTATTTGCTCCTCATTATAAAATCATGAAACTATGCTAGATGAGATACATCAGACTTTGAATTTTGCTGACATCACTACTTTAGCTAATGATAAGGATTATTAGAAAGTTACTTCCTTTGTAAATAAGAATAAAGCCGACACATTTGTAAATAACTCAAATACCAGATATAAGCAGAAAGTGGAAGATCCAGTCTATCGAAATGACTAAATTTCTTACACTCCAATAAAGCAAGGTTTAACTATATAGCAATAGAATGATGTTCAGTTGAATCAGACTTAAATGTTTTCCAATCCTAGTTCCCTTTTTGTAATTAAGAAAAGAACTAACCTAAACTAAGTTTCAAATCGTGATGATAGTGGTCTAACACAATATAAACTTGAGCAAGTATTTGAAGAGAAAGTCCTTAATGATAACATTTTGAAAAGCATAGATAACTTGAAGTTTACTAATTCAGTTGGAATTAAAAATAAAGAGACATTATATGAGTAGGGGAAGACTACTATCGATGATGAAAATTATGATTTCAATGAGAGAGAATAAAATTATTGATTATAAATAAAATGCTATTGATTAATATGATTTGCTTTTATTTTAAAGATATTTGCTTATGGGGTTTTGGGGTTTTGGGGTTTTGGGGTTTTGGGGTTTTGGGG